TTTTTTAATTTTTCAGGCCAACTAAGGTTTTTTAACGTATTTTTTTACAGAGATTCATGTAAAATCGATCAAAACTGGCTAGACTAAGGCAAACTACTATCGTGGACGGGAGAGCTAGTGCCGGAACACGGCTGGTGCCGCCGTGTTGGAACCCTAAAATTGGTCAGAAAAAAGTTTTAACACCAATTTTGAATTTTTGGGGTAGTTTTGGGTATTTGATAATTATTTTAATTCCTGCATGAAAAATTCAGGAAACCGATGGCCTGCTAGGAGGCATAGTGGGTAGCATAGTATTTTAAAAACACTGATCCCGGTAAGAGTCCTTCACCCTATTCCCTGTTACGGTAAATTATGGCTTAGTAATTAAATATCTTGTGTTTTGTGAAAAAATAAAAAAAATCTTAAAAATAATTACATGTCACTAGTGGAGTTGGAACCGGTCAGTTCATATTTGCCCTAATTCACTGTGTATTTTTCCTGTACTGCTTGAATTGCTTACTATTATATTAAGCGTATTTAAATTGATGATTTTGAATTTTTCTCAATTGTTTGGTTTATCTCACTGCACATTCCCGTGTAGGTATGTTCTGAAATAAAATATCCCAACTATATTCTTAATGTACATATCACCTGTTGGCATAATCTACTGTTGATTTGTGAATACGAAATGTTGGCATGAAATTGATGATTGATTGATGATATACATATACGTATGAAAGGTTTACTGGGTACCCTAAGAAAGGGTGGATGGGCCCGGTACATAAGAAACTCTATTGTGAACATTACCTCAGCCGGATGGGGCTGAGGGGTCCCATACCAGAAGGGTTTTGGGAGACATGGTTCACCCTTATACCGGACATGATATTGAGGCAATAGTGTGTTTAGTGCCCATTACCAGGTCGGGTATAGGAACGGTCGGGTTAAATGACAAATCTAGATATTGGGTTCACAAGTAGGGGAATATCTTTATGGACTCCTAGGGGTTCCAATAAGCAGGTAAAAAGGAGAATCACTAATCTTATTTACTTATACATGAAATCATATTATTATCTGAGTATTTATTTTTATAGTTTGATTTTGAAAAACTTACAACGGTAAGTATAGAATAAAAATTTTTCTCTGTTATCAAACGAATTTACTTAGATAAAAGGTTCAATTAGTTGTCTTGTGATTTTTACCAACTTTTGATTTTTTATATAAGTTATTAGAGTGATATTCTTACTGGGGTAGTGTAACTCACTCTTTCATTAACCATTTCAGATTAACAAAACCAAGATCCAAATCCCAAACAGCAAAAGAGTTATGAGTAGTTCACCTCCTGAACTCCTTTCAGGTGCTAGTAGATGTTAATCTCTAGGATATCTATTTATTTGTTTTAATTATCGTTTGTCTTTTTTTTATGAACTAATATAGAATGAACATTCCTATAATCCTATTGAGTATTTTAATTTTACTGTATAAAAAATATAAATCCCTACTTTATTATTTGCTTTTGCATTTAGATAATAAATATATTTCTTTTAGTTTCAGACCTTTACAATCATTAAATGAGAACAATGAAATTGGTATAAATTTGTTTTTCCTTAGATGTGATTTTCATAAGATGATTAATATTTATTTTTCAACAAAAAATTAAAAATAATTATTAAATATATCTCTAGGGCTAATTCATCATAAATTTAAAATTTATTTGTAAATTTATACTATAAATTAAATTTAAACTATTTACTTAAATAATATTTTATGATAATTAAATTAAAATTATGAATGAAATTTATTATTATCTTATTTTAGATGTTATGAGATGGTTGAGCTTGACAAATCTTTAATTTTCCTTCAAAAGATATTATAAATTTTTTTAAAAAATTTACCCTTTATTGATAAACCCTAATAATAATTTGAATTTTGTCCTAAAAGAAGATTAACATTATTCCAACATGAGATAAAGAGAACCCTGCGTCCAAACACTACCTACAATCTTAAAACCTGGAAGAAAAAAGAAAAAACATAAGCAGCTGTTTTTATGAGATGACTTTGCTTGGACGCTGAGAAACTGAGAGAAAAACTCAAATGGGAGAAAATTCTAAGCACACTCTCGAGACATCTTCACCCGACTCTCCCGAAAGACCTTCCAAAGTTACCAAAACCGAAGATTTTAGAGAGGAACACGAGGAACAACAGCTATTAAACGTTGTTGAACAACCCATGAACCCAAATCCCGGAGTCCAACGCTATTTGGTCGCTATCGAGTATATCGGGAGTCGATTCTCTGGCTCCCAAAAGCAGCCCAAGTGCCGTACGGTCGTCGGTGTACTGGAGGTAGTCTTTGAATTTCGTTTGCTCACTGGGAAAATGAAGGGAAAAGAAAGGAAGGAAATAGTGCAACTCTGTTGTGTTCTGTTGCTGAAAAAATCTGTACTTTTCGGGCTTGTAACAATTGGTTTTGGAAAAAAAAGCAAAACAATCCCAATGGATCAGCAGAAATCTTTGAACTTTTCTTATCTCTGAGGATTTTTATTTAAGACTTTGATTAGTGAGAAACTAAGGAAAAAAATTTTCTTTAGATTTTTCAATATTCTGGACCGTAGGAAATAACGTTTTCTCTACTACTAGGCTTTGGAATATTGTGGTATATTGGAGTTGTTATTTATTCTTTTTTTGGAATATTACTTTTGTTGTTCCTTTTTTTAATGAAAATTTTCAGGGCATTGCCTGGTTCGCCTATAATAAGCCATGCTCATTTTAGATCAAATAACAAGATTTCTGAAATGCTGTTATTGTGATTCTATTGTCATTATCTTTGTAGGAGGCTTTCCATAAATTTATCGGCCAGCCGGTTTCAGTCTTTTGCTCAAGTCGAACTGTGAGTCAATGTTCTGTTTCTTACTGAGTTCCATATCTTAAGTATACACGAGGTTGTAATAGTTTTGTTTAGCTTAGGGTTTAACTGTAGGATTAACAGCAATGTCTTGGCCTTGATGGATTGACTGGTTTTGGTTATTCAATTCATATTGTAGTTTTAGCAATTTTACTTCATGTGTTTCCCTCATATGATTTCTTTATTTAGGACATAACCTGGATGTCCAGTTTCTTTTTGTAGGATGCCGGAGTTCATGCACTATCAAATGTTTGTCATGTAGACGTGGAAAGGATTAGCAAAAGGAAGCCTGGTGAAGTGGTATATGACCTTCACATTACTTTTAATATATATGTTTCAAATAAATGATTAGCAGATAGTATTGGTTAGCTTTACTTTCATTGGAACTTCCGACTCTACAGTTTTAAAAGTAAGTTATTTTGGGGGAGTTTTGTTTCCCTTATCTTACTTTATTCACTTTGTTTTCATGTCAGCCCTCTCGTCCTCCATCCTTTCAATTTCTTGATGAAAAGTGATCTTATACTTGATAGCTTGTTACCTTCTTGTACATTTGTAATTATCTTATACCTTCATGTTTATACCGGACAAACAAATGGTTATCTTAGTTTATATACTCATGCACTACTCTCACTGATTAAAGTGCAATAATGAAAGAGAGAACACTGACTTTTACATTTTTGGGCAATGTGGCTAAGTTCATGAGCCATCTGTGACCTTTTCACTATTAAGAACTTAAAATTAAAATAAGGTTCTTCCTTTTTGTTTGGCACCATGCCTACATCATGGAGCCACCTATGACTTTCCACCATGAAGAACCGAATGTTGTGACTAGTGTGTTTTGTTATAGGGTTAATTAAGGAGAAAATTTGAAATCACAAGAGTATCTCCTGTTATTGAGAAAAACACCCTAGGCCAGGTACTTGAACTATAGGGGCTTCGCTCTGCATCCTTTCCTGCAAAAGGCCCCCCTTCCACCAGGACCTCTTTTTGTATAGTGATTGAGATAAATATGAGCCACAACCTAATAGAAACAGTTCTTGGGCTATGTATTTTTAGATGTTTTTCCTTCAAATGAGCTCTACCATAGGCTGATATATGCAGTAAGATGACTGTTTTCTTTGTTGTAAATGCAGTTACCACCTCATGAACCTGCAGTAGTCAGAAGAGCTGTGAACCATTTCTTACAGGTTTTTTTCTTCTTCATTGTTTAAGCTTCTGATTGAGAAATTGATTGGTCCCAATACTATTTAGTTTGTCCTTGAAATGCAAATTACTTCATAAACTAAGCAAAAAGTGATAGCCTGCATGCCTGAAGTTTCTGATTTTAAAAGAAAATGCATGCCTGAAATTATTAGTGATTTCACCAAGTACCGCCCCTCTTCCAACCTGTCTTATGAGTTAATCTTGGCAGTATCCTTATCTCTTAAAATTTTGGTTTCTGTTAGAGAAGTGGAGGAGATATTATGGTGGTTGATGTTCGATGTGTTCCAAATGAATTTCACGCTAGATACAAAGCTCAAGAACGCACGTAGGTATTCATGAGTCAACTTCTGTTTTGCAAAGATAAGATTGGAGTTAGATGCCTAGGCAGCTATACATTTAATGGACAATGTGATATTCTGTTGGGTGAGACTTGGCTGCATACTTTGTTATACCCAAAATAAGCCTTCTGTTGTATGGCTTTCATTTCAATTTTACATGACTATTCACTATTCAAGTAATCACCATGGCTTTATGTGATTGAAGTTAACATCTGGTGGTTCTATAATGTTTTAAGTAATTGTAGCCTCACCCCAAAAAAAAAATAATAATTGTAGCCTCAGCTCCAAACATCCTTAAAAGTAAAGATTATTATTTGAATAATTATTTCTTTAGGTATTTCTATCGCTTGTTGTCGGGGCCAGAGCTCTTGTCTGCCTTTGAAAAAGATAGGGCATGGCACATTCCTGAGCAACTAAATCTCCATGCTATGCAGGTTTGATTTTTCATATAAATAATGACAAAGAAGTGTTCTTATAAGAAAACAACGAAAAATATTAATGGATATTTTTGCAGGAAGCTTGCAGAGTTCTTGTTGGATTTCACGATTTTAGTTCCTTCAGGGCAGCTGGTTGCCAGGTCGTTTCTTTGTCTTTTATAGTTAGCATTCTTTTACTTCGGGTAGAGGACAAGAAGTTTTAAGCTATATTGGAATAAGTCTATAAATATTGTGGAATTCATTTACAAGTTAATACTAAATTTAAATATGAAATAATATAGGTTCTATTAGAAAATTATAAAAATTGAGTTTATATGCATTCACATGGAATTGAAACAATCAATTCGTCATTCCATCAATGTTGATAGAATTTAGAATGTTTTGTCTTAACTCTACATGAAATTTTATATGAGCTTAATTTTTATTGTTCTATTAAGAATTTCCACAAAGTTGAACTAATTGTGAATTTGCAAATGAATTTTATAAAATTTTTATATTTGTTCCATACATAACCATAAAGTAGGATTCTTGTTGCTGCTAAAATGGTTTATGTTTGTGCAATTCACTCTTATTTCTATAGTCTATTACGTTGTAATCTTTGCATTATGAATTTCCTTTAATCATTTATAGATTGCTGCATTTTACAGGCAAACTCACCAATCAGAACTTTAGATGAACTCAGTGTTTCTGAAGTACATTCAACTCCTTATTTTCCATCAGTTATGGAGAGGGAACAAAGCAATTTAAACAGGGGAGATCCTCATCCATGTTCTAGGAAGTCTCAGATTGACCAACCTATTGGTTCCATTTCCAGTAATGGGGGGAGCTCCAATGATGAAACTCGTCTAGAATTTGGCATAAGGAGGTGGCATCGCTGCTATGTGGTAACAGCACGGGCACGCTCCTTTCTTTATCACCAGGTTTGCATTATGCTTACTCTGTATATAATTCTGTACTATTAGCCTTTTTTTCTACTTACATTTCTGAGTACTCTGTTTGAGTAATAGTAATTTTTTTAATATCGTGTGTATTTGGAAATGCACTACGGATGAACAATTTAGGTGTGATGGATCCACAGGGTAACATGCTTATCTCAAATGGAAAAAATACTGCCTTTCATTATTATGAATTAGATTATTAATTTAACTTTTAAGTCCATGCCATTTCTAACCTGCAATATCTCTAATTTTGCATGTCCAGAAGATTCCAGAATAGTTATAACTAATGATATAAGCTGAAAGTTGACTTCTATTTATTTCTTCCCCATCATCTCCTGAATTTTAAATCCATGTCTGATATATTAACTCGAGAATGTTTAAACCTAAAAATAATAGTTTACACTTGGCCAAGTAAATAACCGTAAGAGCCTTCGCCTCATTTAGGCAAGTGCAGTATGGTGGGTTCTAATTCCTAATCTCCAAATATACTCCTTGACAGAAATAAGAAAGGAAAAAGTAATGAGCTGCCAGGAACAGTTTAAGAAGCAAACTGGGTTGTTACCAGTAAAAGAACATGGCTTTTCCTTGTTATTGTTATGTTTTTGAGATCCTTGTATTAAATTTCTGCAATTTGTTGCCAGGTTAGACTACTTGTTGGAGTTCTCAAATGTGTTGGCACTGGAGAATTGACAGTTTCTGATGGTAGCCTTCTCTTCATAAATGTCATATGTTGTTTGCCTGTAGAGAACTGTGTTTCATTCGCAACTGCCCCATTTGACTATCTAATTTACATGTTTCAGTTGAAAGAATTCTGAATGCAAAGACAGTGACTGCTGCAAGTCCCATGGCTCCAGCTTGTGGTCTTTATCTTGGGCAAGTTGAGTATGATTTGTCATGAAGTTTTGTGGTTTCCTTCGGGCGCTTCTGATCTGGAACCTGGTGAAGATGTGTGTGCTTCCAGAAGACATGTTTGTCAAATTCTTTGAGATGCATCCGGTAACAGGTTTCTCGACAGCTCCTAGGTGTTTATCGATGAGAGCTCTTCTTGGGGGACAAGTCTGGTTAGTCGCCTGATTATTTCGTTTGCTAACATATAGGAATTTTGATGAAGGGCTATGAAATTTTCCATTTCCTTTTTCTCGGGTGTTTCCTTAATATATGGGCAGGGGAGGATTGGCTGAAGTGTAAGCATTTTGTGTGCCTTGGATTTTCGAGGATTAAGAAAACTAATGTGGCCGCTGTTGGTTTTTTTTTTTTCTTTTGCACAATTTTCTCATATTGAAACAAACATATAGTAGTTTCAAATTACTCTTATGTATATTTAGGTCTGCCTCTCTATTTAGTTTTATTTTGAAATTTTAATAATCTAATCTAATAATATTAAACTATATTTTATAAATTTGATATAAATTAAGTTAAATTTACTTATATATTTTTATTATACAATGTTAAATTTGTACTTTTGGTCAAAAAAATTAAGTA